TTTGACAGAGAGAGACACAGCGAGAGAGGGAACACAAACAGGGGGAGTGGGAGAGGGAGAAGCAGGCTCCCCGCTGAGCAGGGAGCCTGATGCGGGGCTCGATCCCAGGACCCTGGGACCATGACCTGAGCTGAAGGCAGACGCCAAATGACTGAGCCACCCCGGCGCCCCAATAAATAAAGTCTTTAAAAAAAAAAAAAAAAAAGAAAGTTGTCAATTTTGTCAGTCTGTTAAGTAATCACACCATGGAAGATAATTAATTGAACTCCTGGATATTGGGGTACAGTTAAACTCCGCATTGTAATAATACTTGGGGTTGGCATTCTTCAGAGCACCAATTTTATAGCCCACCTTTGTTAAGACAAAAGCAGTATTAATGATATAGACAAAAGAATTGAACATTTGAAAAAAGTAACTTCCAAGTACCTGAAAAACCTGCTCAAGTGTTCTGGATTTCTGCTTACTTTCTACAGTTATTTTTAAAAACAACTATGAATAACTTTAGTTCTAGTCACTAAACTTAACAGGTAAAATAATATCTAATCATTTTTGGTATCACACCTACTAGCAACAATTAGAAGTTTTTTTTAGCTTATTTGATTTTCAAGATTAAGATTAGGAATCATTAAAATTAAGTACAATGTATTATAGAAACTATTTCCACTGACATTTTATATCCTCTGTGTTCTAGTTCCTGAAAATCCATTACATTTCCTATACAGCTACTGGTTTACCCAAAACATCATTCTTTTTTTTCCCTTTTCAAGTTTTTAATTTAAATTCTAGTTAGTTAACGTATGTTACAATATTGGTTTCAGGAGTAGAATGCAGTGATTCAAAACTTACATACAACACCCAGTGCTCATCACAAGTGCCCTCCTTAACATCCATCACCCATCTAGCCCATCCCCCATCCACCTCCCTCCATCAACCCTCAGTTTGTTCTCTATTGGTAAGAGTCTTTTATGGTTTGTTTCCCTCTCTTTTTAACCCCCTCCCATACGTTCATCTGTTTTGTTCCTTAAATTCCACATATGAGGTGAAACCATATGGTATGTCTTTCTCTGACTTATTTCACTTAGCATAATACACTCTAGCTCCATCCCCATCACTGCAAATGGAAAGATTCCATTCTTTTTGATGGCTGAGTAATATTCCTCTCTCTGTGTGTGTGTGTGTGTGTGTGTGTGTGTGTGTGTGTGTATACACACACACGACCTCTTCTTTATCCATTCATCAGCCCAAGACATCATTCTAACTGAAAAACATTCTTTTAGGTATAAGAACATTAAATTTTTATACTGATTTAATTAATAAAATGTTCATGCTATCATTTTTATGTAAATGATATTAATACTAGTTCAGAACATTTTTCCAGTTCAGTAACACTTCATTTAACTTAAGTTTATTATTCTACAAAGAAGAGGAAAAGGAGGGAGGAAGAGTGAGAAAGGAGGAAGAGGAATCCACAACCAAAAGAGCACACAACAGCTCATGGAAAAGAAAGAAATAAATATCTTAGGCAAAGAGACTAGAAATTTATCCATGTGAAAACCAGTAGTCTCCTAAAATTCTAACTTCCACGATATACTGGTTGCCAAACATTCAAAGTGAAATTGTCATACTTCAATAATGCTTGTTTATATAAAAACTCTATGAAAGATACTGCAATACATTTTTAACTATCAATTTACTAACAAATTACATATAAACTTAAGACTGCCTGGAATCAAAGCTCTTCTCCAAGACTTACCACTCCTCATCTCAAAGCAAAGCAATGTTTTAGTGATGAAGCAAAATAAGTATTTTTGTGCCAGAAAAAATTAATGAAAGGGTAAAGCATGCCCTTTATGTAAACTGTATCTCAAGAAAATTGATTTTTTTTTTTTAAAAGATAAAACTAATCTATGACAAAAGTAGGCCAGGGAGCAATGGGGGCAATGGTTACAAAGAGGCACAAGGAAATTTGGGGGTACAGATTACAACTGTCCAAACTCAACTGTCCAATTAAAATGGATACATTTTAAGAATGTAAATTGTACTTCAATAAAATAAAGAAAAAAAGGTAAGCTTGTTTCCATATAACAGAATTCCACCAAAAGAGAATTCTAATTACACCAATCATATAGCTCACAAAAAGTAGACTTTTGAAATACTGTGTCCTAAGCTACTAGGTTCTTTACCTAAAATGGCTAGTTTCTTCTCTCTTTTGACAATAACACTAACTTTCTAAGTGTAGTCTTTCTACACTTTAATCGTATTGGTTTGGTAAAGTTTCTCATTAGATTTAAATATTGAAGACTGGAGTTAAAAGTAAGAATCTATCAGTAACAGACTAAAAACATAAGGTACTTCTTAGTTGTTTAGATACCTACGTGTCATTCATTTCTAAACAGAAATTAATCTGAATTTCCTATTTAAATACAGAACCATCCTCTGATTTACAATCGAAATTTTATAGTATTAAAATAGATTTTGGATTATTTATTTGCAAAATATTCAAAACCAAACAATTTGAAATTTAAATCCAAATAAATCTACACTATCTAGTTGCTTTTTGTCAATGAGTCTTACAGGAAGTAAAAACTGCTTATTTTTTAAAGATCTTTTCTTTTAAGATCTTGAAACAAAACAGAAATACCACGTTTTTCTAAAGGTTTGTTCACCATAAAACATACTTATCTCCTCGTCTATTTTTTCAGGTTCCACTATTTCAAAACAAGTAATATTTCCTCACAACTAAGACATGATAGAAAAAAGACTCTACTACAGCAATAACTGATAGTGTTGTACATTTTAAGTAATGGCTAATAACTGAACGTGGAGGCTAAGAGTTTAGTGTAATTGTATTTCTACCTCTAATAAAGTTTCACTTAAATAAATTCCATTATGAAGCATAAAAAGTCATTCCAAGGAAAAAGAAATAAACTATAAGCAATTGTGCTATTATCCAATTTAAATAATGGAGATTCATTTGTCACACTATTTCAGTCAACAACTGCACAAAGGTAACTTAAATACAAATTAATGTTAAATATACATATATTCACACAGATGTATCCTCACTGTTTGAAATCTAGTCATTCTGGAAATGTCTATAATTGTGCCAATGATACTGACACTGCAGAAAACATTCCTGACGGTATTACCACAATGTTCAGAGTAATTTTATGACATAGCCACAAAATGGATCAAATCATTTTTGGGAGTCACAGAATAAAAATTAAAGAATACTCTCATTACTGGGGCGCCTGAGTGGCTCAGTCGTTAAGCGTCTGCCTTCGGCTCAGGTCATGATCCCGGGGTCCTGG